GCATTTTTGTCACAAGGCTCTCTGCCTTCACCTCCGCATTTGACCGAGTTCCGGCTTTCAGAGCATAGCCCCAGTAACCATGGCAATGCTCGATTCCATGTGGTGCCAGAACTCGCGGGAAGAGCCTTCACCTGGCAGAGGTGAAGGCAGAGAGCCTCTGCAGTGCCACTGGACCACCAGGGAATAGGTTGCCTCCTCCTTGGATGCTGGTAGGAAACAGGGAGGGGGGAATTTAAAGGACCACTATAGTGCCAGGAAAACATACTCGTTTTCCTGGCACTATAGTGCCCTGAGGGTGCCCCCACCCTCAGGGTCCCCCTCCAACCCGGCTCTGGAAGGGGGAAAGGGGGAAAAACTTACCTTTTTCCAGCGCTGGGCGGAGAGCTCTCCTCCTCTGATCCTCCTCTTCTCCTCCCCGTCGGCTGAATGCGCACGCGCGGCAAGAGCTGCGCGCGCATTCAGCCGGTCACATAGGAAAGCATTCATAATGCTTTCCTATGGACGCTGGCGTGCTCTCACTGTGAAAATCACAGTGAGAAGCACGCAAGCGCCTCTAGCGGCTGTCAATGAGACAGCCACTAGAGGAAATAGGGGAAGGTTTAACCCATTCATAAACATAGCAGTTTCTCTGAAACTGCTATGTTTATGAAAAAATGGGTTAACCCTAGCTGGACCTGGCACCCAGACCACTTCATTAAGCTGAAGTGGTCTGGGTGCCTAGAGTGGTCCTTTAAATATTTAAAATGTTATTAACAAAATGAATATGAAAGCCCCCGCACAACTTGGCCCCTATCCTACACAGCAAACACTTTCTCTCACACACAATGCATCCCTACATACACACACAAATACATCCCTACATACACACATCATACATGCCTACACATACACACATACACACTGCATCCCTACATACACACACACACTGCATCCCTACATATGCACAATGCATCCCTACATGCACACACACACTACATCCCTACATACACATACACAATGCATCCCCACATACACACTGCATCCCTACACACGTACACACACAGAAACACACTGCATCCCTACAAACACACACAAATACATCCCTACATACACACACCATACATGCCTACACATACACACATACACACTGCTAGATATTGATAGATATTGAGAGTCACAGTTACTTACTGTTTAGTGAATAAATCTGTGAGAAAACCCACCGGGAGTTCGGGGTTTTCACTGAGCATTCATTTGTTTGATTTCTTCGATTGAAACTACCGAACACCGACCCCCCTCCTGGCTCATTGACTTCAAAGGAGCCCATCAATTAAGCGCTCTCTCAGGGTGGCCGCCATTCGTATATACGAATGCCACGTGGCGGAGAAAACATCGGCCATCTTGTTTCTTCGGGACAAAGGCAGTGGGACTTGGTCGTCAAGTGTCTGGAACTAAAATCGGACACTCTACTTCCCGAACACTGGTCTCAAACATACGAACGATGGAACTGTATTTCCCGAACAGCTAGGAGAGCGCTTTTCGGTACTTTGATGTATTCGTATGAGGGGAACAATCGCTTCTATGAGCCAGGAGGCTCTGTTCGTGGATTATGGAGTTATTTGACCTTTTCAGAATTGACCGCCGCACACGCTGAATTTGTGGAAGTATTTTGGGCAAGAGCTTCATGTGCTGTCGGTAACTTAAGACTTCCACACGCTTTAAAAACCCCTAAACCGATCTGGGTGAAATTTGAATATGTTGTTCCCCCAGATCGGGGCTATCAGGGGATGTGACATTTGTGGGGATACCTTAAGCATAAAGGGGTGTTCTGAGTTTTGGGGAAAATGTGTGCACTTCGCCTGGATATAATTGGGTTATTCCTTAACTTATCTCATTATCTCACAGGCGGAGACAGGGAGTGTTTAAGTGTAACTGTACCTTATGATTGGCTATTTGGTTTCTGTACTGTGGGAGGTCCTCCTGCAAGGGCACCTCCATAAAAGCCTGTGTGGTCTCAATAAAAGTCAGTCTTGTTACACCCTTCATCATGTTTCAGCTGGTGTTTGGGTACCTGATTACTACTTGGGGAAAGCTGTACTAGAGGATTTCGTTTCTTTGGACTTTAACTACCGGCCAGAAGAACTGAACGGCGAGCTATAATCACCCTGGCTCTCAGCCGTTCGGCGCAAATCACACAATCCCATAGCTACCACTTCAGGGTTCATTACAAAATCCCTAGCTGTTAAGTCATCTATAAAATTGGTGTTCCATGCTGATAAAGCACAGTACAGGCGAAACGCATCCGGAGGAGATTGAAAAGACTTTTTTTCATTTGGTTTGTATGTATTATATCACTGTGACGAGACCAATCTCGCCACATTGCATTGGAGGAGCCTGGTTGCCTACCTGCTGCCTTTGGATTATGGACCGGCAGTTAAACAGTTAATTTTGTGCAGAAAGGCTCATTCATGCCTTTCTGCACAGCCGTTCAGTAGATTTAGTCTAGCGCACAAACAGCCTTCTATTAGCCTCCCCAGAGCCATGGGGAGCCGGCAGGTGCTGTTAGTTGGCCGCTGTCGTGCGCCACCAATCTACCTCCCTGAAGCCACGGTTAACCGCGGCTTAATGAGCGTGTGCAGTCAATTGACCACCCAGTAGCTGTGGTTAACCGCAGCTTAATTGACTATTACTGGGTGGCCACGGTTACACCTAGCGGCAGCTAGACGGCGGTGTTATGGTACTCCTCGGACGGCCAGCGGTGCTCAGTCCGGAGTCAGTGCACTAAAAGCAGACACTTTTATGTGCAGGCACCGTTGAGCCTCCAGTCTTCCCTGCTTCTATTCGTGGCTATTTAACCGAACGCCTGATCATTCGGGACTTTGTTTTATGTGAATGCTTTAACCCAGATAGCACAGCCATGGAGCCTATTCGTGTAATTAAAGACTTTGGCTCCATGGCAATTGAACTGTGTGAATAGGATCTGAGCGCTATTCGGTAGTTATGTGCACTCAGATCGCAGCTATCTGGGGATATGTGACATGTATGGATTTTATGTATTAAATGTAACACTGTATGTTTTAATGTATTTTACTGTCTTTGTGTCCCCACATGTATAATGGCGATTTGCCTCTGTCCTGGGAGATAATTGGATTACTTCCCAATTATCTCCAGGATAGAGGGAGGGAAATTAGGATGCATTGTGGGGATGTTTTACTTCTGTGTGTCTGAATGTGATACATGTCTGTCTGTGTTACTGTCTTCCATCTGGTCCCCTAGGGGAGTGTCCACCAGGTGGGAGACCTGCATAAATACCGGGCAGGTAGCCCTCAATAAGCCAGAATCCTGTTTTACACTCAATACGGAGCTTGGTCTCGTGATTGAGGGGATTTACTGTACGCGGTTAGAGACTGATTGCTGGGAATGTAAGCCGCTTGGATGCTGTGTGTGTTCGTCCGTTAGCAGCTATTCGTGAGATTACCGTTCAGGAGTTTGGAGTGCTACTAGGTATACTGTTCAGGAGTTTGGAGCATTCCCCGGTTCCAGTTCAGGGGTTGGGGTTCTACAGTAGCTGTACCTATACCTCCACAAAATGGGAAACTACCAAAAAGGCAGTTTAACCCCTTTATGCCGGGAGAGCCATTACAATCACAGTAAGTGTTTAATACATTAGATGTATAAGCATACCTTTTGAGTCATTTAGCTTTGTTTTCTGAGTAGATACAGCTTTTAAAAAGAGGGTAGTGCCACTCTAAATTAGGCACAGCTCTGTTTTATGTATAGAAACTCAGATGGGCAACTTTAAACTTTTTACTTTGCATTCTGCTTCTGTATTATATATAGAAAAAAATGTGTAAAAAAGAAAAGGCACAAAAGTTTCACTACCTTTGGTATACACACTATTGTGGTTCACATTTTATTAGTAGTATTGCACTATTTAATATGTTTTCTTTTATGTTATATATGAGACTATGTATGGCCCTATTACAGGGAAAAAAGGGGGTAGGTTCACTAAATTTGTTTCATTTTTTTCACTTTAATGCTCTACTTATATATTTTGAGCTTATTTTCCAGAACATAAATACACCACCTGGTTCAGTTCAGCTACAGTGTGTTTTAAAATGATGTATTCAAATGTATCAGTGGCATTTTTATTTATTACGTTGTTTACTGACATTTCTGCAACAAAACAGCATCTACAAACATAACTTATTATAGATGGTATTTAATATAAAAATGACTTTTTATTGTTCAATTAAGACGTACATGGATCTAGATTTTAAAAAATAATTGTTAGCCTTTGTTATGTATAAGGCAAGGCCAGTGTCTCTAGAGTAGTTTCTTTGCAACAGGTGCACCCTAGTGTCAAGAGTGCTGAAAGGTGTACTCAGAGCAGGCAGCTGCCTGGAGTTTGGGCTCCATTCAATTTATAAACTAAAAAGCAGTTGAGGTGTTAACAAAAACCTAAAACACTTATGCATTATTTTTTAAAAAAGCATCCACATTAATTATATAGCATTTTGTGATCTCAGAAGTAGTATTAAATTAGTGAGCTTCTAGTACACTGTATGCTTTGAATATTGCTAAATAATAGTAACACATTAACTCCAAATAATGAATTAATGAATACATAATTATTAATCAGAAAAAAATCAAAGGTGGGATTTAAACGTCAGCAGTCCTTACACACCAAATATAATGAAACTAGAACCTTAAATCGTAATTTCAACAGGTTAATGGAATGTTTTATTAGAGATATATGAACTATGTTGGAGGAATGTTAATAATTACTATGCATTACATGAAACACTCTGCAGGCAGTTTGTGTAAATGGGTGGGTTTAAGGATCTGGACCTCTTTCCATCACCCAAAAGGGTTTACAACAGTCACCAAACATTTTCATCCCACAACATCAATCTATTCATACAATCAAACAAATAAAGGCATTCATTACATAGAAATAAAATTCCCCGGAAAGTGCATGAGAATAAATATTTTTCTAATAAAAACAAAATAGTTTACAAATTTCCTATAATCATGTTATTCTCTTGTGAACAATACCTAATGTACTTATATAACCTTGACAGTGATAAAAATCAGATCCTTAAAAACACACAAAGAAACAGGGGCTTCAGACTAATCCTCTCCAGATGCTTTCTGCCTACAAGTCCCATAATTCCTTTCTAGCCAATGAATGGCAGAGAATCATGGGAATTGCAGTTCAAAAACTTCTGTTCCCTGCAGTTTGACACGCCTAATTAAGCTGTCTGTTACAATTGGTAGACTTTTCGTGAACATGCTCCCTGTTTTCAACATTGTAAAAATGTAGCAAGAACTATTTTGTAACAAGTAGTTACATGTATTCAATTTTAAAAGGGTAAAATCTAATCCAAACAATTTAGAAATTCGATCAAGCTCTTGGTATCCATTAAAACAGAAATAATAGTAAATCATATTATAAAACTATCAGTTAGAACTTTACGCCAAACTAGGTGAAGACTATAGATAGATAGACAGATAGATAGATAGATATTTAATTTTTTTAAACGCTATTACAAATTAACAATTTGGGTTTAATTTAAAAGTGTGTAAAGTCTGTAGGCTGGAAGAAAAACAAAATTTTATATATATATATATATATATATATATATATATATATATATATATATATATACATACATTTCAAGAGGTTGTGACTGTATGATTGCCAGATGAGCTCCTTAAAATTAGATGTTTAGTCAACTGTGTTTGTAATAAATAAGTAAAACAACACACTGAAAGTCTGCACTTATAATGTGCTAGTTTGGAAATCTCTCTAAAACCATTGCCACAGCGCCCTCTCCCACACGTATTGAGTATTGCTGCTGCTATGCGTTTCAGTAACTAAACCACATTGTTTATGAAGAGACTACGGCAACAGCGCGTTCTAAACGTTAATCTAAGCAATTATATGTTTTAAGCGATTTCCTTATTTACACGAAGTCTTTAGGGAGCCTATCGCCTAAATTGTAATGAAGAACTGGCTTACAAATATAAGGCCAACACAGCTCACCTAGGAAAAAAAAATATAGAACTGCTTAAAGTGGGATATTTTTTTTTTCTAACTCGGCTATTTTAATCTATTTTTCCCCCAAGTTTATTGTCAACTCATCGCTTAGTGAATCTACCTCCATAATTCTGGAGAATAATGCTCTGTCAGTGATGGATATCCCTGATCTCAATCAGTGCCGTGTACCCCGATCATATCGCAGTATTTTTCACTGATGAAATCAGAGAACTCCACAATATTGTTAACAGGCATTTAAAGGAAAGTTTCCCAGTATATCTGGTCTGAAACTGTCCATACATCAAAGGATAGAAGTAATATTACACAGATGGAACAGGAACATCTGCTAGTGATTGATACACTACAGTAAAATGATTTGAAGTCATAAATACTGCCAATAAAGCCTGTGTGCCTCAATGACATGGTTTGTCCAATTTGTATATTAACTGAAGTATAACCGTTGTCATTTGTAGAATAAATTACTCCGTAATATCGTTTTATGTTCAATGTGATATCTCAGGTCGGTGTATATTAGTTTATTAATGTTTCATTCACACAGGTAACTTATCATTGGAAGCAACTGAGCTGTGATTAACGCTATTTTCTAATACCATTTATTTTGGCTTAAAGACGGATTGTGACTAAATATCCCTGTGTTGTAAGCCTCTAATTGTTCGCCTTTGTAATGTGATAGAATGATGATGGAGAGTGTAGTGTCTATAAAAGTTTGTAGAGAAAAATAAAAGAGTATTCTTTGTGGCAGAGAACGTGGGCTGTATTTTCTGTAACATACCTACCTTCATATTAAGCTCTCTATTATAGATGTATATATATATATATATACACACACACACATCTACATTAGCTAGAGAACTTATTATATATTTACAAATAGAAATATATACATTTGCATAGATAGATAGAGTCCTAAATATTAATAGACATTTTTGAGCCCTTAACAAGCTTTGAGCAATAAAACACATCAATGTGATCACATATAATGCATTATAGAACTTAATGCATTTTACAAAAAAATTATGAGTAAAAAAAAATGCATTTACAACCGCATTCTCAATACTACTACTTCTACGTATAGTAAGAGTTATATTAATAGCAATAAAAAAAATCTCTGATTATCGCTAGCTAGTTCCAAAAACTTTATATTCTAAACTTCTCCACTTAAACACAAGCAGTGATATTATCAGCTGTGCACGAGAACTGCCGGTTTGAATCAGTTCTTTTCTCAAAAGACATGGAAAAAAAGCACGATATTTATTCATCATCTCGTTTTCTTGCCCCCTCCTAAAAAATAAAAAAAAATAAAAAAAATGAAAGTTACTTCAAAGAAATTCTCTTATATGCGAGATGTTTTTATTTTTTTATTTTATTTTATTTTTCCATTAATTCAAAAACAAATAATAATATACATATCTTGACCTATTTTTCTTCAAAACTTGCCGATTATTGCTGGTTGCTTATGGCATGCAAATGTGTAAAGATAATATTTATAACTGTTGTGAAATATACAGTATATCGCTAAATAACATTCTAAATTATTCTATAAACACAGGTGAGTAAATAAAATTTTACATTGTAGCATCTATCTATCTATCATCTGTCTATCTATCATCTCTCTATCTATCTAACGCTTGAACTATTTTTTTTTTTTTAATAAATCTCAAGAGCCTTTGTCTTGTTAAACTGTGGGTCTTAATACAATATATTTTTTTTAGCCAACACAGGCTGTGAGAATAGCATTTACCCTAATTACATACACTCGCTGACCTAATGTAAACAAGCCTAGCATTGTATTCCTGACATCATTGCCATCACTAATTATTAAAGAGGAGTCACTGGAAGTAACCAAAGCTCTCGGGAGAAATATATCCTAGAAGCTCAGAGAACCTATGTTTTTACAGGTAGAAGGGGTTAACTATATTATTTAGAACGCGTGTAAACTCCACTGATGTTTTGTGGCAATTTCCCTCAATTGATTTAGCTGTCCAAACCTGATGTCTGGAGCTTTAAGGCTAAAGACTAATATATGATTAAAACTTTTAGACAAAGAGAAATGTTTTATTCAGCTGGGCTGCTATTGATTCTATCACAAATGCACTTAAATAGAAATGTGTAGAGCACAGGAAACATACTTGTCTTTGAAGATTTGATCTTGATTTTAAACAATAACGAAAATTAGACAGGTGACTAAAGACAGCCATCCCTCTGTGGTATGTACTAAGATTACCATTTCATAAGGAGACTGTCCTTACAAGTAGGGTGATCTTCAATAAACTAGTTGACTATTAGTACATCTCTTGTTTTATTTTTTGAAAAGTGCACCCCCTACAGGTCAAATACTATATTATTATTATTATTTTTTGCTGTGAATAGGTTTCATTTTCAGTAATTCCTTGCCCTGATTTTTAAGGAAGAAAAGTGAATTTTATTACATTATCACATATAGAAAACATATATACATAATCCGTATCTGTGTTTGAAGAAATGCTGCTCAGATGTCCAGAGTTGTACATTATCTGACTATCTGCTGTGCTTGTGATTCAATGTATTGCTCTTGGCAAAGATATTTGAAATAAAACAATACACCTCTCAATGATCTTGAAACTAATTCCATTTAGAATGTGCATTTAGTTTAATCCCCGGATCTAGGCCAGTCTGCAAAGGAACAATTCCTAAAATGCCTCAATGATAGCTGCTTGTCATTTGCTAATAGAATCTTGTTTTGTGGACTATTCCTGTCCATCTACATTAGAAATGGGGTCATGCTACGGATTGTGCTTTACTTGCAGCTAACCTGTTTTGGAGAAGTCAGGCGTATGGAGGTGACAATGCTCAAAGGTCTTAATACAGCTAGAAGTGGGAGCACAAGGTGACAGAGGGATGATTAGGAAAAGTATAGACAAGCTGTCTCCCTGTTCTATTATTCACCTCATACTGAGACTGCCACGCTGCAAAAAGCAGAACATGGAAACTCACTGGAAAAATGTGTATATATATATATAGTATTCTCTCTCTCTATGTGTGTACTATATTCATTATATATTGTTATATGTACTGCTAAACTCACTATGCACATACAATGGATATGGAGCTATCTGGGGGAATTCCCTTGAATTATATTTACATAAATAGAATTATATTCCTATAATATATTCACACATAGTATAACAGTGTTACTGCACACACACACATGCCCAACACTTATATATACGTGTAGCTAAATATCAAGACATATACATACTTCAAATCGGGTGTGTATATGCTGTGTCTGAGTATATATGTACACATACACAGGTATCATTAGATATAAAGACTGTGCTCACACAGTATGGCCATTGCATTTTAACTTTGCTATAACTGGAGAGACAGACAGACAGATATGTTACTAATATCTAAATGTGCAGGATCAGTAGTGAATGTGCCATCTCTTCTCTGCAAGTGCTAACTGGCAAATGGAGACAGAAGAATACTTACATTACAAAGCCAGCCCTGGCCCCCTCCTCCCCTCTCTCCCTCGACAAGCAGGGTAGGAGGAGGTTTGAGGGAGGTGGCTGACTCTGGATATGCAGATGGCATAGCAGTGATGGGCAGCTCCCTGAAAAAAAACTCCAGCTCTCCTTCTTCCTTAACTCCTTTACCTCCTCCTCCTTCACACCCACCCACTCACCAAACAACACCCTCCTCCCTGAGAAAAAAAAAAAAAAGTAAAGAAAAAAAAAAAAAGAAAAAAAAAAGCTCCCCTGCTCACAGGCTCTCGGGGAGCTGGCTGGCTGGCTGCTCGGGCTCCATATGCAGCAGCAGGCACTGTCCTGATCACCTAGAGCTCGTCCACTTCCACATGATCAGCTGCTCCCCTCCATCTCACCCACTCACCCTCACACTGGATTTATACCTGTCTATGATCACACACCTACCGCACTGCTCTCCGGCTGCTGGGGTACCCAGAGGGGAGGGGTGGAGGCAGCTCACTTTTATTTCCTTGCATGAGTGAAGAGAGCAGCGATCAGGCAGAGCTGAGAGAGAATAGGAGCAGGAGCTGTCTTTATTGACATCACCCCTCACCCCCTCCCTGCTCCCTCTGTAACCCAGCCAGCCCGGGCGATCCACACCTGCAATGTCCTATCCTCAGGGTTACCTCTACCAGCCCCCCGGTTCCCTGGCTCTCTACCCCTGTCCGGCTTATGGAGCTTCGGCGCTGGCCGCCCCCAGGAGCGAGGAGCTGGCCAGGTCTTCGTCCGGCTCCGCTTTCAGCCCTTACCCGGGATCTGCCGCCTTCAGCGCCCAGGCGGCCACAGGTTTCAGCAGCCCCCTGCAATACTCCAGCGAGCCGGGAGGATTCCCCTCCTACATGGTGAGTGAGTGCTCCCTGCTCCCCGGCCCCTCAACTCGGTGAGGGCTAGTTACTTTATAGCCCCCTCCTCCTGCACACACCATTCTCACACTCTGAGTGAGCCTAAAATAAGATATACCTTCACATATCCTCAAATACTTTTAATTTCACATTATTTTCTATTTACATTTTTATTCAGTGTGTGCAACAATTTGAACTTATTATACGTGCTTATGTATGTAATATATATAATATATATACTGACTAATATAAAGAGACAATCTGTAATATGTACAGTACTTTTACAGGACGTCACTCTATATATATCACCTTTCATAACAAATGTATAATATATATATTGCCAGCACGGCAATTGTAATTCTTTTTAATTCATCGTTTATTTTTCGGTGATTAATAATTACCAGATCACTCGTGTTGAGAGAGTTTTTTTTTTTTTATTATTTACCAGCGAAATGAAAACCAACATATATCACGTGTAAAATGTTTAATACAAAAAATATATATGTTTCCAAGTACAAATGTGGCTGGGGTTAAGCACTGTTCGCCTAGCGATTCCCGTGGTTATTATTTTATCTTCTTAATTTTTAAGCTTTTTTTAACTTTTAACAATTCGTTAGTAAATAGCATCTGATATTCCGTTTTTAACAATGTTGCTATTGTATTTTTTTCAAAGTATTTAACATGTATTGATACAGTGTTGTCATTGTGCGTGAAAGTGTGGGAATACTGAGAAGTGTGAATAATGTTGCTGAGATTATATTTAAGTGCTCATTGGGCGAACTTTGCAAGCAAAATAATTGTAGGTTTTACCTCTGTAAATGTTTGAATTTTCACACTTTAAAGGTTAATGACACAATTAAACACTGCTCTCTAGTTAAATGTATCCTCGCTTTATTGGGGGTCTAAACACGTTTTTAAGTACTTTATGGTGCTAACAAATGAGAAGAGATGTGTCCAATAACTGTGGTCGTGTACAACTGATCGAGTTCTTAGGGATATCTTTAACTTGCTCACATTATGCAGACTTAAATAAAGGCAATTTGAACGTTAAAGAGCGAATTAAAATGCAAATTGCATGCTATTTGAACAATTCGAAGTCATGCATATCTTCTGATTTGCAAATTGGATTTACAATGCATTAGACGAGTGAATTGCTCCAAGATGGCATTGTTATATTTTCAGCCACAGAATAAAGGAACTGATTTCTTTTGAAGCTCTTCAGTAATCTTCAGAATGTACAAACTACCTGTAGACAAAGAACAATAAAACACCTACAAAGATAAACCGTTTTCTCATTACAAACGATTTTTTTTTAATTGCATGATAATGGGTTTATTTTATTTACAAGTGCTGTTTGTGGAGGTTTTTTGTGGTTAACAGATTCCCTTGTTTTATAATATAATATAATGCAAATGTAAAAGTTGGAGAAAACATTAAACGTTTAACCTTTAAAAAAAAACTGTCTTTCACACTTGTGTTTGGTCAGTGCATCGAAATGTTAATATTATGTACATGTCACACACTCCTAAAATAAGGATTTGCTATGTCAGTATTAATATTCGCTTAATGGGTATAATTCTTTTATTTACAGGGATCCCCTTATGATGCCCACACAACTGGCATGGCTGGGGCAATTAGCTACCACCCGTATGGTAGTCCTGCTTACCCATACCAACTCAACGACCCAGCTTACAGGAAAAATGCCACCAGGGATGCTACTGCCACGTTGAAGGCCTGGCTGCAGGAACACAGGAAGAACCCTTACCCCACCAAGGGGGAGAAGATCATGTTGGCCATCATCACCAAAATGACCCTCACTCAGGTCTCCACCTGGTTTGCCAATGCCAGGAGGAGGCTCAAGAAGGAGAACAAGATGACCTGGGCACCTCGAAATAAAAGCGAGGATGAAGATGAAGATGATGGAGATGGTGAAAGAGGGAAAGAAGACCATTCAGACAAGGTCCAAGATAGCAACGAGACGTCAGCAGAAGATGAAGGTGAGTCAGTCTTGTTTTTACAAAGAGCAGGCCGGGAAATTCTACCAGGAGAATGTAGAACACTCAGCAAACAGGCCCCAACTATTCAAACTGCAGCTCCTTATACTGAACTCACAAGCTTACTTTACTGCAATTATGACTGCAGAATTTACTGGAGAGTTACAGTTTATTATCAAACTTTATATCAGGTTTAGGGATATTTCAATTGAATATTTAATTAATCTTCTGTGCAATTTAGGGTTGGGCAAATCCCTTGCTATCTTAACAGCATGCTGGTGTTGTGGAACAAATACAAGATCTTGCATGCATAAAATATAACTATATGATGACTAATATAAAGAGACAATCTGTAATATGTACAATACCTTTACAGGATGCCAATCTATATATTTCACCTTTAATAAACAAATGTATAGCAAAGCCAATATGTTATGGCAAAATATTGCAATTTACAGTAACTTACTATTGAGTAATATGGTATAAAAGGTTACAATGTAAACTAGTATATTAGATATAACTTAGACTGTTTTCAAATATATATTTTAGTATATCATTTAATACGATGACGTGTTACATCCAGCACTCTTGCTTATTTTATATTTTTGTGTATATTAAAAAATATTATTATTATTATTATTATGTACTTACTATGGTTATTGAAAGCTAAATGCCATGGCCAAATGCAAAAATATAAATGACAAATGTATTAAGCACATTTGTGGGGCACACTTGCAAAAGGGGAGCAATCACCATGGCAACCAGTGGAACGTACCCACTGGTTTCACCGGTTTTCGAACTTTGCTCCAAACGTTGCTCTTTATACATACTCAAAACTGTATGAGGACATGCAGAGTAATATAAAAGAGTATGTATAAAACGTGTGTGTATATTTCTATGTGTTGTACACACATTCATTAAACGCTTGTGAATTCTATACATGTTGGGGGGGTATCTGTGCAGTTTGTGTGACAATTGCCCTTGACCTTGTGCTGTGGTATTTTCTAGGTATTAGTTTGCACGTAGACTCCATGACCGATCACTCGTGTTCCGCCGAATCGGACGGTGAGAAGTTGCCCTGCCGATCTGGGGATCATCTCTGTGAATCGGGGACCGAATCCAAGGACAAGTATGAGGATGATGAAGACGATGAAGAGGTTGATGACGAAGACAGGGGGGTCCCCTCTGCTAAATCTGTGACGTCATCTCCTCTTACTGGGGTAGAAGCACCTCTTCTCAACCACCACCAGCACGACGGCAGCCCTAGAATCTTAAATAAGGCCTCTTTGGACAATAGGATTTCTCCCGGATCTCAGACTCCAGCCAAACCCAAACTCTGGTCACTGGCCGAAATTGCCACTTCGGACCTAAAACATCAGAATATCAGTCCAAGTTGTCCACCCCCTACTTTGTCCTCAGCCCCCTCCTCATCAGCATCGCACAGCTCGGCATACCCTTCATCCTCCATTCTGGGAAGGCATATTTACTACACATCGCCTTTTTATAGCAATTATACAAACTATGGGAATTTCAATGCTCTTCAAAGTCAAGGGATACTGCGATATAATTCGACAGTGGCGACTTCGAACGAGGGACTTAACCAAACGGTTCTCACCAGCACCTCTCTGCACAAACACCCCAGTGACTCACTAAAAAGTGTCAGCACTCAGCTCGAACAGCACTACAGGGCGAATAACTATGAATCCAAAAAAGGTACGGAATTTAGTTTTTTTTTTTTTTTTTCAAGAATGTAAAAATGTCTATTGTTAAAAGAGGTAATGGGGCTTGGCATTGCTTTGACAGTGAAGGGGTTAAATAAAACACCGAATTACAGCGATTTGACCACATTGCAGAATTTAGGCCAAAATGTGTGATTTGGAAAATTTCGCCAACTTGGCTCAATTATAGTCACAGCATGGTTATGGTGTATAGGCTAAATTTTACAATTCGGTTTTCTTTTCACCATCATTCGCTGTTCAGTAATACATTTTCATTTCGAACTCTTGTAGGGGTTTTTTCAAGTTTTTATTTTATTGTTTTAATTTTGTATTTTATTATTATTATTTTTTCTCTTTTTTTTTGCTTTTCCCCAGCTGAACAGATTTGGTTTATTAATTAGCTGTGTGTGTTTTAGGTTAATTGAACCTGAAAAATTCGATTAACCCGTTGAGTTAACATATGGTGTGAAAGACACAAGGTGGCACTGAAAGGGGTTAAGGAAAGCGTGGTCGATTAAATGGGGCTTTTAAATCTTGTGTCTGTGTGAATTTAGCCCATTGGAGAATTGGAACATATAATCTAGTTAGCTAGCTGTGTCCTGTGACTAACTGACGGTTATATTTTGACAGATCCCACCGAAGTCTGCACAGTAGGAATACAACCATACCTATAGATGTGCAATCAGACAGCAATGCAAGTAAGTGAGAACACTATCTATTGCCTGCCTATGGTCATCTGAGACCAAAATCGAAACAAATTAGGTAGCCATAAATTCCCTTATATACCATTTATTGCTTCATTACCTGGCAATCTGGTTTAAAAGTCAATTAGAATCCCAGATGTCTATCATTATTAAACAGCTAATATACATTCTCATTATTTCATAAAAAAAAATAATAAATATATATTTTTTAAAATGTCTTTAATCATATCACAAAGTCACCCCTTAAGCAAAATGTAGATGTATGACATATTTTCAAATAAAAACCTGTTGAATGACCAACACTTTGCTACTCACCCTTAGGTTTAATTTTTTAATCTTACTGCTTTTGAGACCGTTATTATGGTTGTATTAGAAAACAGATCTAATTATTCTTATTTAGTTCGGTTTTAAAAACCCCTTTTTAGTTCGATTACAAATGTGTTTATAATTTATACATAGTGTGTGTGTATGTGTGTATTATTATATTTATATATTTATTATATATATAATATTACACATATATTACACAGATTATGTAATGTATGTGTGTGTCTGTGATCAAGCATTCCACACTGTATTCATAGTAGTGTTATTGTGCAAGGATTTTTAGTGATTTTGGTTTTTTCCTTTATTCACAGGCAGGTGTCACAATTGCTTTGAAAAAAAAGTCAGCAAGCCATCATCTCTCCCTCAGCTAATAAGTATTACAACAAATATCTAAATCCGGATCACATCGTGTGCCACTGTATAAAGGAAGATACACAGAGCACTATTAAATCTACAGACTCCTTTAAAAAAAATTAAAGAAAGGTTCCCTTTGACATATGTGAATTTCTTGGTATAGTATAGTTGACTTCATGTATATTTGTGACTTTTTTTTTTGCAAACAATCTGTTTTTCTCAGGATATCTTGACTTGATTACTTCATTGCCACTATAGGTGTGATGATAGAATTTATTATAAATGAATGCAAAGAAGAGGGACACAAAAAAAAAAAAACTATTTGGAAAATATGTATACAATAGAGATAATAATTGTGATTCATGAACTGGAGTACTTAAAATGTGGGACGAAAAAAAAACAACAAAAAAGCAGATTTGATATTTATTTTTTTAATGATATAAAAGCTTCTAGTAATTTATGCAAGTTGTATTGCAATGAAATTCGAAACATTTTTTTGTAAATAAACTCTGCCTGGTTTTTATTTGGAAACGAAATATGACATTTATTAAATTTATTGTCAACGAGTATTCTCTACTAATTTATATTCTAAATTGTAAATAAACACAAAACAGTATGACAATTGACAAATATCGTGTTTTACTCTCTCCTGTATAGTTTAATATGTTTCAATTAATGTGTGTGTGTGTGTGTGTGTATAATATATATAATTTTTTTAATATATATTTTTTAATTTATTTAAATTCCTTTTTTTTTTTTTTTATACACACATTTATAATTTATAAATATGTATTATCCTATCTGGAAGATAAATGCTGGTATTTATACACACATAAAGAGAATCGCTCAGTGTCCTGCATAGCTAGTGAGAATACCCTGTAGCCATGTGTGTAAACGCTTTGAATCAGTCACCAGGAAGGCATAATAGTACTGACACTGTATGGTCTCTAAACAAGGCAGGGGCACTGTCTGTATGGGTGACATCTCTTGATACCTTGCACAAATAATGTGTTGCAGCTTCTAAAAGAAGAAGGTTAAAAAAAAAGAAAAAAAAACACACACACAAAAAAAAAACCCTACGATTTGTTACCCACAAAGATAAATTGAGTGAATATAGCATAATAAAATAAAACAAGAATAATAGCTTCTTAGATTGCCCTTTAATCAATCATACACTTATTTTTCAAGAGCCTCATCTATTTTATTCGGTGATTAATATTGTTCTAGCGTGCGGGCATTATTAGATCCCAGCAGGGGAGATCCTGTGTGCTTTTGGAGGCAGTGGAATGGGCAGTCGGGGTTCATTATGGACTGATATTGAACAATTTATAAAATCTTGTCTAAACATCTGCCAACTCAGATAGGCCGGTGAGCGTGAAGATGGGAAATTGCTGGACCAGTTGATATTGACAAACAGATCTCTCTCCAGTGGCCTTTTGTGCAGAGAAAATGACTGGCCTATTGCTCCAGTCTTGTTAAAAAGGGCATTTGAAAGTGATCCTTAATTCTTCAGTTATCAGCACACTGGCTGTATAGAGCTTAAAACATTGTTATTCTATAGGATATTACAGAAAAGCTCATAAGTGTGTGCAATATACATACATATACAATATTTTACAGAGATAAAGAATAAATATCAAATATATAAAATCGGTTTTATATATGTGGAATCACACTGACAAATAAAACATCTTGTAATTTTTCTTATTAAAAAAATACATTTTACCAGAAGCATAAGTGCTCACAATGATTTAAGGGAAGGATAACAGAAATCCCATGATGACTGCACACAATGGCTATCTATACTTGCAAAAGGAAATAAAATTATTTTGTGTTCCTAATTAGGGCTAGCATTATATGAAGAACTTTAGACATTTACTGTTTGGGAAAGAGTAATAGTAAAATTGTAGGATTTCATTGATTTGCATTTGAATTCGCTTATTATTATTCCAATCATTACAACTCCGTTGGTTAACACATTAAGCAGTCTAGGAAGATAATTGATCTTTTTCTTTTTTTTTTTTCTATTTACAGTTCCCACCAGGAATGACACTTTATGTAATTAAGAGACTTATTCCAATTAAATTATGGGTATTTTTGCCACGTATTTACTTTAGCTCAATAGCAGAACAACATATTTAGTTATTTACCATAGTGTGGTCTATTCGCTAAACAGTGATTTATATTAGTAAAATATTGCATTTGCAAAATGTCAGTGAGAATTAATCTTCTAAACTGGGTTTCAATTCGCTGTAATTCGCTGTAGAGTGTAAGAATTGTAAGACTAGGCGAGGTGGTGATTTTTATTCTATTTCTGAATTTTTGGGCCAAGGCGGTTTTCAAGTCTCCAAAACCTATTGCTTGGGGGCTTATTCACTAAACTCCGAATTGCAGCGTTTTTGCAAAAGGAAGCAAGATGTAACTACAACTGAGTTTGAAAAAGATTTCCAACTTTTATTTTATTTTTTGCCAAAAATGCAGTACTCTAATTTCAATTTTCAAAGTTTTGTGAATACACCCCCATTTGCATATCTAAAATGACACTTTAATGCAGTCTCTGGGAAAACGAGGGTTGTGACTGAACCTCAGTAAACATCTCTGAGACAGTGACAGAGAAGCTGATTGTTGGGGTTGGTGAGGTCTTAATCTCAGGTGGGATCCCTTGGGCAATGGGAGAGGTGTCAGAATAGAACCAGAGGCTCTGCCCGCCTAGGAATGTCTCTGGGTCTCAGCCTTCAAATGGCAACATCCTGCACTCCATAATTATTGTTTCTGCAAAGCTTCTCAGAAAAGTGAGAACATCCCACCTTTGTCTGAGGAACACATTTAATTTCGGGAAATAGTTGGGAAGATCTAAGAAGATAATGACACATACCATCGACTTCAAGGTGTGCTGGGTTCACTTACCTGGGGAGGTCTCACTTTCAGCCTCTTTTATTTAAATTAACCTCTTCGTGGCATGGGCCTGCACGAATCCCTTGATATAATAGCAGTTTGCCAAATCACCTTCATGACTGAGTTAAAGTGTTCTATCAGGAATAATAGTTATGTAACTTATATTTTTGGTAGTTTACCTTTAAACCCCCCTCTTCCCCCGCAAAATATTTTTTAAAAAAAACCCTTACATAACTGCCCCCTACCCCCAGTATCTAATTGTGTCCAATATATAGCAATATACACGTATAGATTGTGCATGGATAGTTATCGATAAGTGATTATCTGCCAAGGACTTAATGGACTAAGCTGCATATTAAAAGTAGAGGCAAGCCCTCTGCCACCCACGCCACTCACAATCAGCTGCTGAAATCCATTCTATATTTTACTATTTTATTACAAAAGACAAAGAGCTTGACATTTATACAGTGTCACCCTTCCATTAAGAGAAGCTGAATACTCTGATAAATATGAACTGCAAAGAGAACGTGTTCCACCAGCAAGTTAACATAACCCTGAAACATGTCAAAACAGATTTTTTCTTTCTGAAGTAATAGCTTTTGGCCTAACACTTTTTGGGGCCTTCGCCTGAGTTGTTTTATTGCAAATCCATCCACCCACCCATCCATCCATCATTTTCCCTAAAATCCTAAATTTGTAGAAATGACATTACATTATATAGTGTCATTATAATATATATATATATATATATATATATATATATATATATATATATATATATATATATATATATATATATATATATAAATAGAATTTCTAATCTTGTATATAAAAGGCACACATACACACACACACTAGTGTAATTTCTACAACTTGATCATGTTTTCTTGCCACAACTAATTAAATTCTCACCTCACCACATGGTCCTATTCACTAAACAGCGAGCAGTGGTGACATGTCAAATGACATTAAACATTTAGGCCAAACACAAACGATCTAGAAAACTAAAATCCCAGTTCTTCATCTTTTTTTTTTAACTCTGCATTTTTGGCCAGTCTATAGTCAAGTTCAAACTACTGCTTATTGAATAGGTCACTAATCACAGGGGCACAAAAATACTAAGAGACATATGAGACAAAGACAAGATAAAGGGACAATGGAGTCAAATCACTGAATAGTGACAAGTGATAGCATGAACAAACTAGCAACATTTAGGACAACAAAGTTGCTTGAAAAAGAAACCCCACAATTAACCTGAGTCCAGTTGATTTCTCAATGACAATTCAAGTCGCCACAACTGTTTATTTAGTATTTAGTGTTCTCTTTAAGAATATGTAGCTCCAAATAAGTTACATATAGCTACTCTCTTTGAATTGCTATACTGCACACATTGAGTGGATGCTCCGTGTTAAATTGCTAGTAATGAAAGCTGAAAGAATGTTTAGTAACATTTAACCACCTCTACCGGTTGTACCTTCCCTGTATCTAGCATATTGCAACATGATCATGAGCTGATCCACAGCTTTGAAATGCTGGCCATTGAATTCCTTGACAAACAAATGAACACAGTGTCAGAAATAAACACTTTTGAAATATAACAATTAGTATAAACATTGGCAGTTGGTCCCATTGATTTTAACCTAATTATTTCTGACAGTCATCAAAGCTACAACACAAAAGCACATTTGCCGAGTGATTGACAATTTGTTGTATGTATAACTCTTTATAAATTATTAATCTCTACCGTCAACAACGGTGTTATAATCGTACTGAGTTTTCGAAATGAATATTTTTTTTTCTTGCCATAATTATTTCACATCACATTGTAATGTCACAGATAATTTAATTAGGTCCATGCTTTGATACACTTTTTTATTTTTTTATCACGTGTAGCCTTATATACAAGATTAGAAATGCCTTTTTATTGAATCTATCATTAATAATTATTTCACAGAAAGGGATATAAGTAAAATTAAAAAATAAATAAAAAACACACGGTTCTCTGGTCGAATTAACAAAAAACGATTAATGCTTGCTGTGCAATAATTATTTAAAGACCAGCAGATTCTAGATTTATAAAATACGACACACACACAGGAGTTTTTCAAGATCAAAAGAGAACACATATTGACCTCTGACATTTATAATCAGTAGAATAATATAACCTGGTTTACATTACAGAAAATACTCCACGTATAATTTATTAGAGGCAGAGCAGGGTGTAAATTAAGATGCTCTTTTTGTATCTGGTTTTAATAACCTGATATATTGCATGATTGCAGTGTAGATTAACATTATAAGGACACGCTGTAAAAGTTCTTTACATTGTGTAAAAAGGATAAGACACTATTAAAAAAATATTAATTGGGTGATAATGGTAGCACTTGTATGTACTCATTTTCAAAACACAAAGTACAGAGGCAAGCATGAAAACAAACAACTTAATTATATGTTAACATTAGAGGAACTAAATAATAATGCATCCTGAATGAGCTAAAGTCCCAGGGAGATTAGCAATTCAGACAAGTTGTACATTTAATGATATCCTAGATCTAGATTCAATGAACGATGGAGAGACACTGGGTTAAGAGGACTTGCAAAATATTCCAGTTTAATATTATTACTGTGAGGGAAGAATGCATCAAGTCTGTTTTGCTTTTATTCGATGTATTTTCATTTTGAAGATAGATAGAATGTATTTTGTTATTAGGAAATTAGCATTCAAGCTCAGG